CGCCGGCTCTAGTCGCTCACGGCTTATCAACCACTCGGCGCAACTCTGGACTTTAGCACGTTGCCAAGCCCGTCTTAAAATGAGTCACCACCGCCGATTGTGACGCCCGTCCAGCTGGACTGATGCGACCCAAAGTATGCGAACGATGCACGAAAACGCGGCTATAGCCTACAGGTGCCGAGATGGGCGGGTGAAAAACTCTTACGATTACCGTCCCGCCTCTCGGAAGCTGTCCCGTGCGAGTTAACGCCTCATGAGTCGCAGCTCAAGCCTCCCGCGCTTCCGCCGCAAGTCACCCGCTACACTGCATCAACCGCCTATTATGGAGGCCTCGGCCTCTGTCGGCGCCGAGGATTCGGACAAGGCGAGAGATAGAGAGAGAGAGAGCATTTGCCCGTGTGTGGGTACCACCTTAGCTAATCAACATCACCAGCATTGCCGCACTGTCAGCTGAACATGTCTCTCTCCGACTTTTCTAGTCTGATGGGCAACGCTTGACATGCAAGTGTCACGAGAGCTCGCCAAGGTTTCCTAATTGCGCCCTTGGACAAGATGCCCGTTCGTCTCACTGATATGCATGCGTCTCTACTGACGTGCCTCGCGTGACGCCGCGTAACGCTGCGTGTGCCCGTCGCTGGCAAGCAAAAGGCCCCAAACACACAGACACACACACACCCAGCCCGCTGGTTGATCCTCGGTCCCAAGTGTTGCGATGCGAAACATGGACGCGGAATCCGACTCTAAAGTATCCGTCGCACGTTGCAGCATGCGCCCTGCACTCTCGATCCGAAGCAGATGCGTTGCATTGTCTTGCCTCCACCTGGATGAACGACGTCAGTTCCCTCTCTTGTGGACCAGCATCCGAGCCATGGCCCGGCATTGGTGCGTTCCCGGACGACTCTTCGTCGTTCGAACTCGGCCAGGGTCAGCTCTACCCATGGCATTTGGCCTGTTACGTGTTCTGGATGATGTTTCCGTCGCCAGGCATTGTGTTGAGTATTGGGCATGATGCTTGTACTGTGTGTTTTCCAATTGCGTCACCATGATTGGTGTACCTGTGCGACCTAAAGGACCGCCTTTTAGATTTTTGTTTCCGTCGCCGGGCTGCTTTGCCTCCCAGGTGACGCTTACATGCACTTTCAATACGCTCCAGAAGCGTGATATCCCTGTGTGATATGGAAAACTGTATGAACTAGGCACGCGGTTGCCTCTGCGGGTGTGGGCGACGGGGCCGAGTCTGTCATACTCGCTCAAGAGGGACGAGGGAGCGATCTGCGCCTCCCATCCCTCCCGTCCCAAAACGTCGTCCTTAATCGAAAAAAGCAACTCTACCCTCTGAAAGCTGACTCTCAGTCTCGTCCCAACATCCAGCACGCCCCATGCCGCCGCCATGGTTACCAGACGCTGTGCGACCTTGGAAAAAAGAAGAAGAAAAGGAGAGAAAAAACAGCAACCTTTGTGTCAATGAGTGACGGCCGGGACGTTTGTGAAACTCTTGTGCCGTCCGAAAAAGCAATCTCGGCAGTTATCTGATCAGATGCATGCGTGGCTTGGCGATCTGGCCACGCGAGCACGTGCCGTTATAACGACTTACTGACGCATTACTATCAGGCAGCTCATGCCTCTCACCCTCATTCCTAGGAAACAAAGGGCTTAGGTAGTAAGAAAATATATTGAAATGAGCTTCTGCGTCTCCCAGTTTGAAGAAGAATAGCATAGTCGACTTTTTTTAGGTCAAGCAACCGAATATTTGCTGCAAAGATATAGAAAAGCAGTAGTTTACTAAAGGCATGTTGAACCCGAGGCCCCGACACAGCAGCTTGCCCAACGACACAGTCCCGTTGCCCACCACTTGAAGCTTTCCTTTCTCTATGTGGATCAGCCCTCTCCGCTTGCTGCCATCCTACTCCGCCGCAGGCCGGTAGTATATTGCAAGGAGCTCTCCTATGCTGTCGTCGAAGCTCGAGTTCACTGCTTCGGCGTTTTTCGGCTGATCCCTGTTAATGCATAAAAAACCGCCCCGAAGAATAACCTCCGGAGACCAGAGCGTGGAGAACATCATGGTACAAGACAATTCCTTGAAAGCCTCGGGGCTTTGGTATATCTCATCGACTTCCCAGCGCAGCAAGCATCTATCGTGGTCTGTACCTTATCATAGACTTCAAAAAAACGTAGCTTCAGCGCTGGCGTCACCCATTCAGGCCATTCACCAAAGTGTTTAATATAAAGGTAAAGACACTTCTTGTAAACAGGTCTGATCGCAGGTGATGCAGCCCACAGTATAGATTTCCTGCCCCTTCTCAACCAGGTCAAACAGCAGGGTGTTATGCAAGTAAAGGGTGCTCAAGAGACGTTATCGTACTCAAAAGCCTGTTCTCGTTCATGATACATACATACAACCACCCCGTGGTTATTATGTTCAACAATCTATCTCTCGAGGGCCTCGTTGAGGTAATTCTGATCACATCTTTTGGAAGAAAGAGCCCGAGACGCTCGGCCCCAAGTGAAAGCATCTGTTGCACTACTAAACTACACTTTCTGTCTTCTTTTCACTCAAGCTGCTGTTGCCGTCTTCTGTCAACCACCTACTCACTTGTATTATCCTCACCCACTTACACTCTTCTCTCTCCAACTCTTACCTCAGGCCGCTCAACCAACTCTAGCCAGCGAGATGAATACGCCCTCAAGCGTGCAGTGGGCGTAGAAGCCTTGGTCTAGTTTCCTTCGATGCCCTTTCTAGACGAATTAGCCTGATTTTTTTTATTGCTCCTTCTAGTTTCTAGTCATCCGTCTACGCACCGTATCAGCCAGCTTCTTACATGAATCCGTCACCTGTTTTATTTGGCACCCTAAACAAGGCCCTATCCGCCAAACCACTATCCTCTTACTCTGCTTCCCTACCTTATTTGCTGTAAACAGGCGTGCCTTGGGAAAAAGAACCTCCCCTCCCCCCAGCCAGTTTCTTACACAATTCCGTTACCCGTTTTGTTATATTTGCTAACCCACCATAAAACAAGCTAAAGTAAGAACTAGAGACAGAGGGGGGGGGGGGGGGGGGGGGGGCTATAGATAGAAGACACGTCTAAGAAAAAGAGTAGGATGGTAACAGTTTAGGAGACTGTGGTGGTGGTGGCCATTACAGCTCTCTCCATGCATGCTGTCACGGGCAGCCTTGCGGAAGGATGAGCACGGCGAGGGGCGTAGGGGCGTCTTTGGGCGCATTGGGGTCGTGGGACGCGAATTGCGAGTGCGTGAGGCGGACCGCTTGTCGATGGGGTCGTGGTCGTGGTCAGCCATGGCGACGGCGAAATGGGGATTGCCGTCGACCAGATTAAAAGCAGGATGCTGTGTGAGTGAAGCATGCTTAAGAGACGGTTACTGTACTTAATTTACGAACCTGCTTACCTGCTCTTAATTATGGTGCTTGTAACCACACTGCGATTATCATGTCTGACAATCTATCTCTTGAGGGTCTTGTTAAGGTACTTCTGATTACAATTTTTTTTGCTTGGAACAAGGAGCATTGCCGAGACGTTCAACCCCAAGTGGAAGCACTAGCCGCCCTACCAAGCTGTCATTTCCTTCTTTTCACTCAAGCAACCTCTATTTGTTTATGCTGCTGTTGTCGTCGTCGTCTTCTGTCACTAATACAATTGTCACCTACTCACTCGTTTTATCCTCATCCACTTACACCCTTCTCTCTGGCCTCGAATCTCGCCTCAACTCTCGACCCTGCTGTGGTGAAAACCATGAGACCGTACGAGAGGAAGAGGGAACCAAACATGTAGTAGATTCGGCTAAACCAGATGGAGCCCATGATGAAGTAGAGCTCGAAGAAGATGGCACCAAAAGGCAAGAGGCCAACAATGAGCATGCTGGGGATCAGCTTGAGATACGTCGTGGAGGGGGGGATCTGGCGGGGGATCCCTCGCCCAAAGCAGGTCGAGGGATTACAGCCATTGAGAGGAGTATGCCCTCAAGCTTGCAGTGGGCGTAAAACCTTTGCTCTTGTTTCCTTTGATGCCTTTCTAGACGAAGGTGTTAATAGGATAACGAGAGCTTGCAGCTCACTGTTATATGAACTAGGCAAGCGCAGACTACGGTTGATTACGGGGTTGATATCGCCGGGGTACGGGAGCTGGCAGAACTTCAGCCTTCCAAGTCAAGAGACCCCTACCAGGCCGACCCCTTTCGAGGTTTTATATTACCATTACGGTCTTTCTTAGCTTCCCAAGCTAATGGTCAGGTCATCGACTATAACCCTTCAACAGAACGAGTCCAGTGAATTGCCGTCGAGGGGAGTTCTCTTAGATCCGACATAATCCAGGTACAATCGAAAATGCCATGGAATTCGACTGACATATTACGTGCTGGCTACCACAGAGACGAAACAAAGTCTCCCATAGTCATGCTAGTATCCGTCGATATCGACACATCGTCCTTTTGACAACCGCCTTCTGTGCCCCGAATCGTTCCGTCTTTGCATCACGAAATGAGGAGGCGAGGAAACGTGAAAGCCGTTGCGAACAGGTCGAGCGAGGCTGCCTCTGGGGCCTCGTGGTTTTTGTCTCAAGGCTCTTCTTCCCCACCACGGACCCGCGAAATCGTCCTTTAGCTTGCGGTTAAATCGGATGCTGTTCTTATTTGGAGGCCACCTAATCATTTCAGGCAAGCTATTGTTTCTTGTTTGGTGAGCTGAGGGCTAGCAAGCCCCCCCGCTCAAGTCTGGAGAGCCATTGTCTTCACAAGCACTGGTGTCCTGGAAAGACGTCTTTGTGAAGACTCTATCAAGTATCTTAAGGTCATCATCAAGTTATTGAGTTGTGAAAAAGGGATAAAGTGTTGGCCAGTTGGGAGTTGTTCAGTCCATTGCCATTTTCTGGTTATCACGGTCTCGCAATGAAAGAGGAAGACCGCAACGGTGGCGGAGTCTTCGCTTTATAAGTGACTAACGGCGCTCTGAAGCTCAACAACATCCAGCAATGGATGAAAACCGAAATGGCCGGTTGGCCCAATGGCAAGGCGTCTGACTACGATCTACGATCGAGTAGGGTATCAGGAGATTCTGGGTTCGACCCCCAGGCTGGTCAGTATTTTGGAAAATTTCTCATCGACCTATTCGGTGGGTAAATTTTTGCGGATGCGGGCCCGAAAATGGGTCTCCGGGGCCAGGGCTTCGTATCCGGGCCGGGATTGGCTGTCAACGGATGAAAGTCACAGAAAGACACCCGCATTAGCCTGCCGCTTGATTTAGACAATCGAATCAAAACCTGTGTCTGCGTATCAAGTCAAGTCCATGTCCCTTGGTTTTTCTCAATCAAATACAATTGCTTTCGGTCGCTTGCCGGGCCCGGCCGGCGCCCATCGGCCTAATGTTCCACTTGGCCCCGAGCCTTAACTCCGACGAGTACGTACCTCCTCCAGTGACTCGGCCTCACTTGCAAAATATTTCCCCGTTCACTCATGAACAACACCAAGCCATTATGTCAACCCCCGGGCCAACAACACGGGCACCGCTTTCTGATGCTCTGACGCTCATCGTCACAACGTCGCCAACGCCATCGGCCCCCTCCACTGAGCTTCTAGACGCAGTATTTCAATCTATCCGCCTCTGCTGCGGCGATCTGCTGGCCTGTCGCATCATCGTTGTCCTCGACACTTTTGAGCGCGTTGGCGAGGTCGCCCGATTGAAGAAAGGCCAAGTCACAGAGGAAGGAGCGGCGGCATATCTCAGATACAAGGAGAACGTCAAAGACCTGGTGTTGGGAGTATATGACCAACCCGACGGCAAGGATGAGTTACTCCAAGAGCAAGGAGAAGCCGAATACGGCTACAGCGGCCGAGCGGCGTCCGTCACGACAAACTTTGCAACGTACACCGTGAGCCGGACCAAAGACGGACGGGTTTCCTTCGTCGAGCCATCGGAGAGGTTGGGATTCGGGTTGGCTGTGCGGACGGCTCTGAGGATAACCGCGACGCCTCACGTTTGGATCCACCAGCACGACTGGACACTCGTCCACGACATCCCTGTGGCGTCCATGCTGGATGTCATGGAGACCAACGACGCAGATGAAGAAGGCCCCGTGAAGTACATCTGCCTGCCGTCAGTCCGGATGCTGCAGTATGCCGAGTCCGCCCATGTTCAAGAGTTTCCGCATTTACGGGCTTTGACGGCCAAGCTGAAGCGTGACTTCGTTCCGCAGTCGCATCCGACGACCAAGGTACCTCTAACGCCCATGTTCTTTTGGCATGACAAACCACACATCGCGTCCACGCAGCACTATTTATCCAGGGTGTTCCCGACACGATTGGCGATACCGAGAGGCGCCTTCATCGAGGACACGATCGGACACCGCGCGAGGACGCAGATGAAGGAACAGGGGATGTGGTCTCGATGGGGCTGCTGGCTGTTCTATCCCGGTCAAGGGAGGCAGCTATGCCTTAGACATCTGGACGGGCGACGATGGAGGGGTGCGGAGGCAGAGATGACCATGAGAGAGATATATAGACAGGCAAATAGAGAAACTCAAATAAAAGACACTGAGTAGACTGAAAGCGACATTGAGCGTATTAAAGAATGCCGCCAAAGGATTTGTGTGTAAAAACCCCTGTAAGCCAATCATGTGTGAGAAAAAGACCGTCCCACAATGAGCTTCGCGGAATGGCGCAGTTCGCACCGAGAAAAAAATCGCCATTTTGGGTAGCTTAGGCGCCAGCATGTCTTGGGACAGGATAGGTGCCTGGTGCCCCTCCTGGTCAAGGTGAGGTGAGGTGGCACTGCATACACGTGATATGCAGGCTGCAGCCTGATAGCTCAAAGGGCTTGCTGATGTTGGAAATGAAGTTGACTTCTACAACACAAATAACCATGTTGAACCTCCAAAACCCACCCTTCGAAGTAGATCACCAGTTGCTATCGGGCTTGGGGATTGCGAGAGAGACGGCTCATCACGTTCCCGGACACCCGCGGGTCCGTCTAGATGAACAGGAAAAGGTCCGCCATTTCTTGACTACCGAGTTCTGCAACGATGATTTGGATGCAGTGGCCGATAAGCTGTGGTGGATGTCGAAGCAGGACAGCCGGAACATCTCCCCGCTTCACCGCCAGATCGTGAAGCGCCGTACAATCGTTGTCACGGAGGAACCGAAGCTCCATCTGGTGTGGATTAACGACCGAATCTTCATCAAGCCGCTGCCACGATACGTTGGCTCGCATGCCTTTTGGAGGGATTACCTTGGTGCTGAACCTGGGTCGAAGGGAAATGAAGACAGGATTCGGCGGGCGGCTCTTGGGTTCATCCGGACTTATTACTACCTGATCAAATACGAATCTGACTTTCGCATCGCTCAGGATCCCGGCCTCAGTCTCATCCCTGCCGATATTACATGGACGCAGTTCTGCAACTTTACCTCGCGCCTTGCCGACATCCAAGACAGGGAGGTTTCCCAGAGGTACAACTACGGGGAGATTCGTCTAACGCGACTAAACTTCTATGCACCCCTCTTGCTTCGGAAATCGCACTTTCAGAGGGTAGAGTATCAATATGGGCCGTATCTGGCACGATTCTACGTCCCCATTCTATTTGTCATGGGCGTCGTCTCAGTTGTTCTGAGCGGATTGCAAGTCATCATCTCGGTTGACGAGGGCAAAGAAGGAGGTGACGGCGGCCGCGCTGATAATGCCGCTCTTTGGTTCAGCGTCCTGATGATTTTAGTATCCTGCGGCGTCCTTGTAGCTCTTGGGGCACTCGTTGCATACAAAGTGGTAAAAGAGTGGAACGTAGCGATACACGATCGGCGTCGACTGATGAAGGAACGGCAAAAGGATAAGACACAGGCGGCGGGATGCCCTTGAGGACTTGGAAGAGAGATAATACCAACGTGGTGGCTCGTGTGCGATCATTATTGACACTGGCGATCTGATGTATGCTGACCGAGACGGGCAAGGCTTGGAAGTATTACCGTGGTCCACGAGGGAATGATCATTACGACAACTCCAACCCCAATTTAATATTGTTCAAGCCAAAAATGTCGGTACCAGAGGGTATTTACTAGTCAGTATGCTATTATTCAAAACGCGTTACTCGGAATGATATGTACTTAGAGCACACCGAGTTCGAAAGGAAGAGAAAACACTTGAGACACGTACTATAGCACTAGAATAGATGGGAAGTTTTCCAACCTGGGTATCTCTTCGCTCCTTTGAATGTTGCCTGCTCCGGGGTTAATCGGCAAATCTCCACCACCAGGTTAAATGCCACTAGAGATGGTCTCGAAGACAATGTCCCTGACAACGACATAGCCAGCCTCATGGACTTCAAAGATTAAAGGCATCCTGTAATAGGTCTCATACCACAGGGTTTTGACGCAGCGCGAAATGTTGACAGTGACAAGCTGGAGGGCTGGACCGTGGTGGCCAACACTGGGTTCAATATCAGCCACATGACGCCAGAGCTTCCAGCGATTCCTGGAAACCGCATTCTCATGGCTTTGGCTAGTGATTCCTCCAGACACTGTGACTGACCAGAGACTTCCCTATCGATACATGACACAGCTCCGCATGGCCCCTCCATCCAAGTGGAACATCGTGAGTTCTCCACTCGTCAAGCCCTGGTGGTCTAGCGGTATGATTCTTCCTTAGGGCTATTTCCTAACAACCCCCATGGAAGAGGTCCCAGGTTCGATCCCTGGCCAGGGCCTTTTTGATTCGTCTTGCAGCAGGTTGAGCTATATTTTGTGCAATTATTGTAGAGATTTCTCGACTTGGGGCGTTGGACAACTAGGATTCGCATGGTTTTGCGTGGCTACTGGCAACATCACGCACGTCTTACTGGTCTCGGCTAGCCTGTGGCCCACCACATGCGCGCTGAGGTGTACGCAGCTCATTATAGTAGGTACTTGTGTGGAAAAAAGGACCTTCGGGCGACGGCCGGAAATATCCCTGTCCATGCTCGGCCGGTCTCGGCCTCGGATGCGGGGAAATTGGGTCAAGATTCGGTGCGGATATCCGACAGTAACCCGTGTTATCTGACCATTGTCCTATCTGACGGATACAATCCCGACTCTGTAGGGAATCAGCCTCGGCCTGCATAGCCGATTCACTGAGAATAAAGTCTTCCTGGATCGTTGTCGTGTTTTCCACAACTCATTCAGATTCAGAAACCAACCGGCCATCATACTCGTCTCACAGCGTCAACTCGTTAGTCCGTTCTCATAAATCCGTCATAATGTCCCGCACCAAGGTTCCCCCCCGCGGCATTTGGGCCCCCGCAGTGACTCTCTTCAACCCTGATACCGACGAGCTTGACCTTGAGGCGCAAACAAAGTACTATTCCTACCTGTCGAAGACGGGCCTTGCCGGCCTCGTCATCCTCGGCACCAATGCTGAACAGTTTCTCCTGACCCGCGAAGAGCGCAAGGCCCTTATCGCCACCGCCCGGAAGGCGACCAGTCCCGACTTCCCCATCATGGCCGGCTGCGGCATGCACTCGGTCAAGCAGGTCCTCGAGCTTATCAACGACGCCAAGGAGGCCGGCGCCGACTCCGCGCTCGTTCTGCCCCCCGCCTATTTCGGCAAGCAGACCACTCCCGCCGTCATCGACCGCTTCTTCAACGAGGTCGCCGAGAAGACCCCTCTGCCCATCGTCATTTACAACTTCCCCGTCGTCTGCAATGGCATCGACCTCGACAGCAGCACCATCGCCAAGCTGGCCAAGAAGCACGAGACCATCGTCGGCGTGAAACTCACGTGCGGCGCCGTCGCCAAGATTGTCCGCCTGTCGGCCGAGCTGCCGGCTGACAAGTTCGCCACCTACGGCGGCCAGTCCGACTTCCTCCTTGGCGGCCTCGCCTCCGGCAGCGCGGGCTGCATCGCGGCCTTCGCTAACGTCTTCCCCCGCGTGACGGTGCAGATCTACAGGCTGCACGCCGAGGGCAAGATCCAGGAGGCGTTGGAGCTCCACAAGAAGGCCGCCATCGCGGAGCAGGCTACCAAGTCAGGCATCGCGACCGTCAAGTACGCCGCCTCCATCTTCACGGCGCCGCGCGCCGGGTTGAAGGGCCAGGAGAAGCTTTTCCAACCGCGGACTCC